CTAAAATTAATTCACTACAATATTTTTTTCTTAGACTAGTCAGATGAGAAAAGGAAGTGATATACTGACTAATGAAGTTTCGAGGGCCACCATAGTGGCCCCTTGAAATGTTTCTGAAGGCAAGATGGCTGCCCATCGTGACTAACAATCAAGCAGAAGCTTAGGACCCGAAGGAAATCACGCGTAACGTCGCATATTTCCTCTGTAATATTTTCAAGTACATCGTACGAGTTTTGTCTCGCTGGATGTAAGTTGTTCGCAAATAATGGCATTTTAGGTTCTCAATTCGGCGAGTCAAAAGACGGCTTTCTTCCGGGCTGATGTGTGGTACACGCTTACCGACCTATCAGAAGAGCAATCGCCTTGATGATGGAGGCAGGAAGCGCCATTGAAACGTCGGTAAACTTAAAGCACGGCACAATGGCCCAGAAGACATCCATCATTTGGACTTTGTTCCGGGGAACCACCATTGCACTTCTTATCGCCAGAATCTGGCCGAGAGTTGTGTTCTATTCAAGTTTAAGCTGAATCAGTGTCGCAAGTAAAATAAACTCTGTACTCACTGCGCGTTCTTATTTCACACATGATTTCGGATGTTTGGTTCGTGAAAGATGTCAGCGACGCAGGCGAACAGATGGCAGCGGTTTCCACTATTACGAGTTCTCATTCAGCGGAGCTTTCGGGAGAATGAAGAAGCCTCTAGACGTAGAAAATATACCGAGCAAGTTTCATCGAGTTATCATTATTCCAAAAAGTGTTTTGCTTCTGAAGGAGAGAAAAGGTGAGGCTACAGAGCGTTCCGAAAACAGCTTCTCAGTCGTTACCTCTCCGTTTCTGCTACTTCTTTAGGGACAACGCACGGGGACGAATTGGGGTACCTGTTTAACTACGCGCTGTCACCGAATCCGAAATTTCTGGGACCCAACGACCCTTCCGTGGTGACTCAGGACAGAACGATTAAAATGTGGACAAATTTCGCCAAAACTGGGTACGTAAGAACAGCAAATTTGAAGTTGGATTTGCGCCGTAGATACGTTAAGGAGGTAAACTCTGCGTCCTAGGCTTCAGCAGAAGACGGACTGAAGATGATAGCAGAGTAGCTGATAATGACTGACAATAATTCAGATGTATGACACATTACCTGCAAAACGAAAGCACGCGTAGAATACAGAATGCTCCTGTCAAAGAGGAAAAGGAAGTCGACAAAGGCACGCCAGCTTCGTCTTCAACACCTGAGAAATCAAGTCTACAACAGAAAAAGTTCGCTTTCGCAGATGCATTCGATGATGAAGTCATCAAAACATTCATTCATCATTTTCACGTGTCACCTCGCGGCCAAGTGATGAAAATGTTGTACAGCGTTCTCAGGGGTGACGGCACGCAATTCGTCAGACAATAACTACAACCACAGCCGTAGGTTTAATTGGCTGCAACAAGAAACCTTTTCCGGGCGGAATATTTGTGCTTGATTTCTTTCGCACTTTTGTTTTGCCACAAAAACCTGGTCGAGCAGATTGAGCAGTAAAAGAATACAATTAATTAACACGTGTTAGTGTGATCACTGCATTAAACACTCAGGATCGGTCACATCGAAACTCAAAAATGAATCAAAAAAGTTGCTTGAAGCATGTGACGTAATCAACAACGAACGAAAACTCAAACATGGCCGGGAGAAGAATCATTCATTACGCTTTAGTTTAATGCACTCTCCATTTTAAACGGCGTCCAGATACGTGCATGAAGCCAGCCACGAACGCGTAATAAAAGGGCTCCACCCCGCTCTGTTCTTGTACACACAGGAAATTCTGTCCGCCTCTGCAAGCCTTTGCTTTGGCCTGTTCACCCAAGAAGATGTGATCGATGGCTGGGGATGGACTCTTATTCTCCAACCTATGTATTTAACGACGTCTTCTTTATTTATTCTTTTCAGTCTTGTATTTTTACGTTACATTCCTACTTCCAGGGCGCCTAAGCCATCGCCGTGCACATCGCAACGTCGAAGGCGGCCCTGGTTCCAACAACTCGTAAGTGTTCAGTAGCGAGTACATTTTTAAAAAAATTGACTGCTTTGCGTTGCCTAAAGTTAAATTAAACTAGAATAAATTGAACAGAAACAACTTATGTTATGTCTTCTTTAAAAAAAACAACATAAATCGAACAATGAGAAATGGACAGAGTATGTTGGTTATCACGTGTAGTCTGCATGTGACAGAGACTCTTGAATTACGAATCAATACAAATCAAAGTTCCTTTCAAGAATTAACGACGTGGCCTTGGGTTTTTTCGGATTTCTGGAATGTTCTGCCAGCACTCGCGTGTTCGGCAGTGAACCTGCTTCGGTGCGAGAAATGGCTATTGTACACCCCTGAAAAAGAAAGGAATTGGGAAGAAGTAGAGAGAGTCGCGTTTTTCACTAAGTCGAACTAAAAATCATCTGTTCACCTCGCTTATGAAATCCATGCAGTTGATATGTTTGGACACATCAAAATACAAATGAAAGCCCTACATTTTCATCTTCGCATGCAACACAATTTGCAGCTGAAGTTAGGACTCAGACAGGAAAACCCTGCTCCAGATTCCAAACCTTCGTTCGAAGGAAACATTAATCACCTTCTGCATAGTTGCATTTTGAAGTGGGTGCTGACACACAGACCGCTGGATTTTAAATGCGGTAATGCTTCTGGACGTGGCCGATTTAAACCTATCGCCTACTCTAAAAGATGGGTTTCATAGTGGGTCTACCTCGTAGTACGCAGTCCTCCTTGAAACAGCCAAAGAAGGAACGATTTAAGTCAAAGCCTTTCAATTTTACCGAACGTGATAATGTTCTCTTACTACACGATGTTAAATAACTGATTCAGTTAGTACAGGGTCGTTATACCCCTACGACAATACATACCTTGGTGAGCAAACTGATTGTTGGAAGTGTAAACTGCGAGATATGACGTCAGTGCATTGTTGTACTACGTTGACTGCTTCAAATTGTCGACTGTCTCTTAGTAACGGCCTGTTTACGTCTTGTGTGGCGAGAAACGTGAACAAGCTTTCAATCGTAGACCGAAAATATTTTACTCAGATAAAATAATTTAACCACCAGGAATATTTTGTTCGTAAAATCTTCGGTGGGATGAACAAGTTTATTCGCTGTATCAAGTCAAAGAAATAAATGTGGCAACGAAGGGCCGGATAATGTTGGAGCCTGCAGTCAACAGGAACAGAAACCTTCTGGACTGCACATCACGGACTTACCGCCAGAGGCGCTGGCTCGCATTTTCGAACATTGCTCTTACGACGTCTTGGCTAGACGAGTGAGGCTCGTGTGCAGACGATTCTGCGACGTCGCCACCTTAGTTCTCAATTGCGGGTTCTCGACCTTGGGTCCCAAGATTGATCGAGCTATGGTGGATGACGTGTCTCGTTTTGAAGAAGTTCGAACATTGGGAGAACTGCTGGTAACGACTCATCCTTTCAATTCAGCTATGGTGGATGTCGTGCCCCGTATAGGACAAGGTCGACCAACTGAACAACAACTGCTAATGGATCAATATTGCATTGCGCTGATGCTTATGAAGTATGAGGTAAGAGACCGGGGAAGGGCCGAATCTTTGTAACAACTCTGAGGAATGTGAACGCGCTGTGTCACGAACAAACCCTTAATAGTGTTGACGAGGGTTTAACATTTCTGCTTCTAAAAGAAGCGCGTAACTCCTGTTTTCTGACGAGGACTGAAACATGACAGATTCAGACGCGTTCCTGAAAACTGCTGTTGGCCGAGGACTGCTCGTCACATCAGCAACACGAAGCTAAGAGTGCACGTGGTTGACAACAGAAATGAAAGCGACTTCGCGTGTTTAATCGACCAGAGTAAATTGCCAGTGACCTAGAAACTGATCGACAATCAGTTTACTACACACGCGTCTTTACGGAACAGTGAAGAAACAAAATTAATATGTTGAGAATTGGGTGTTGAGGAGAATATTTGGGCCTAGGAGAGAAGACGATGGGGTCTGGAGAAAACTACGTAATGACAAGGTTAAAAATTTGTATAATTTTCCCCGAATATTTTCAGGGTGGTTAAGTCGAGAAGAATGAGATGGGTGAGGCATGTAGCGCGCATGGATGGGACAAGAGGTGTGCACTGGGTGTTGGTTTCGAAACCTGAGGGGAAGAGACCGCTGGGGAGACCTAGACGTAAATGGGAGGATAATGTCAGGCGGGATTTATGGGAGATAGGAGTTGAAGGAGACTGGATTTTGTTGGCCCAGGACAGGGTCCGGTGGAGGGCTTTGGTTAATTCGGTGATGAACCTTCGGGTTCGGTAAGCCATCTTGAAACGGAAGTGATATTTCTCATATGCATCCTCCGTGTATACAAATCATCTGCTTACAACACGTGGAACGGAGTTCTAACTAACCAGATGGCTTAAGTAACCCGAAAGTTCATCACCGAATTAACCAAAGCCCTCCACTGGTCTCCGTTCTGCTTTCTTTTCTTATAAAGTAGAGTCGGCTACAAATGGCATGAGCAGCAAAACCACCCAAAGAAACATCGACTATTTGTTCGTCAATTATTTAAACGACGACATACCAACTGCAGGGTTTGTAAACAGCTGCTCATTACTTATCAGAATTTCATACATGTGAACTGAAGGACATCGATAGTTAAGTTGACAGCCGATGTGGTCCGTCAGCTGCCCGTCTGACAGTTGCCCTGTTTGTTTGCAGTACCGCGCGGTGAGAGCTGTCACCTGGAGGCACATTTACAGCCCCTACTCAGGCTCTGGACATCGGGCGTGCTTCTACGCCGGCAGTGTGCTGGACGAGTTCCTTAGTTTCCTGCTACTGGCCCGCCATTCGCCAACCCACTTGGGGTTTTTCATGCTTAACCCTACAACGGGAAACGAAATCATGAAACTGATTATTCGGTGCTCGAAATTCATGAACCACTTCGAGATAAGAACTTATAATTTTAGACGCAATTATTTCATCTGTGATGCAAAGATTAATGACCTTTGCCATCGCTTGAGGAAGACATATTTCTTAGTGATCCCACATGAACAGGCGGTGACAGTCAATGGAACGGAATGCCACATCAAGACTCATTATAGGTAAGGAAGGGCACATTAACTCGGGGCCCCGCGATAGGGAAATCCTTTTATCAATAAAGAACTCGCCATCTTTAGTTTCTACTGCGAATTAACAACACCGTGGGTCACCAGACAAGAAGATCAAGGAGTGTATACGGAATTTTGGCAGGGAATCCTTCTGGAAGAAGTCCACTGTGCAGACCGGGAAGGAGATGGGAGGGTAATATCAAGATGGATCGAAGGGAGGTGGTATGTGAGGATGCCAAATGGACGAAGTTGGCTTCAGTGTTGTCTGCGTTGGACCTGCGGGTTCTCCTACCAGGGAGTTGAGTTAGTTTGTCGGTCTCCAGAGATCGCAGTGGTGGCGAGTTCTTCACTCGTGGCCGACCTGACAGCGCTCGCAAAATAGTTCCAACGCACTGTGGCTTCGTACTCTTTCAGTTTGGAATCATTTTGCAAAACACTTTTGAGAAGGCCTCGTTTAAGTGTTAGGTCCAATGGCGAAGTCAGAATATTGAAGCTGCTCAGAGTCGCTTGTAAAATGCTCGGCTACAAGCCGGAGCCCCTAAACGGTTCTGAAGTATTCTTAAGATATTTTTCGATGCTTGTTACAATCTTCTGTGCTCAAAGCGGAAGGAAAACACAAAAGGAAGTCTTAAGTGCTTTACAGTAAAAACGCGTCTTTCTAGCCGTGATATAAATTATTGTTCAACTTGAAACTGATGCCGTCAGTCACAGCGACTTCTTTAGTTGGAAGCAAGGAGGCTTGATCACAAATTACGTAAACGCACTTTACTAAAACCTACGTTTATCCCAGCCGAGCGCCATCGTCTGTTCACTTCCGCGGATCGAACAATTCTTGTTGTTTGTTATGAATCCCCTTGTTCGTTGCTGAGAGTGAATTTGCGTTTGCAAGAAGAAATATAAAATCTGAACCCAGAGACGGTTACCTTGATCGGGGTTTTCCTCGCTGGCTCTCTCGTGAGACCCCGTAAAGAGCCACCTCCATGAACGAATATCCACTGTTTTATGACTTTTGTTTCTTTGTTCGAAGAATCCCAGTCGATTGCTGAGAGACATAAAGCTTAGCACTTCAACGTGAAAACAGGACAAGTTATTGGCAGCGCGTTCTTTTTTGTCCGTCTGTCGTACGTTATGTTCCGGAAAAAGTTGTCAGTGGAACCACGGTTCCGGAGAATTTGACGTAAATACGTCTATACGGAAAGGAAGTGTATATATTGGCTTTATTCTAAATATTTCCTTTATACATGCTTTACAATTGAGTAAAGTTTGATTAAGACTTTGCTTATTTAACTTGAATTAGTTACGCTTAAGATGGGTCTGTGATAGCTGAATGTAATGTAAGGTAAGGGAATGTAAGGTAAGGTAATTTAATGTAATATAATGTAATGTAAGGAAACCCACTGTCCTCGGGGATGCAAATTCTGATAGGTGGGAGCCTCCCGATGTCAGAGAGAGGTTACATACAATCACAACATTTGTCGTTTGAAAATTCTTTGAGCACGGACCTCTGACTCATGCATGGCCTGAGCTTGATTGTCGCAAAATATCTCCGAGCTTAGTTGCAGTTACAAACAGACAAAGAAATTTCGATGGAATCCAGAAATCTGGGTATGGGAGTCGGAGGGAAAGTAACAGAGCACATGGCGCCTTCGTCCCCATTGATCTTTTCGTGTAACGTAGCCCAAGGTCGCTTTAAACTTGCACCCAGTTCAATTCCCTGCACCGAAAACGGCACAATTGTTTAATCTGTGCTTACGTTTCTTACAGGATGCCTTACACGTGGTTCGATTGCCTGCCTTCATCTCATGCTCAACCTAATCAGTGGAGCGAAGAGCCGAGGTCGATATACCTGCGCATGCGCGAACTAATCGATGGCAGGAACCATTTCTTCCTCGAGAAGATTCACCACGAAAAAGAACTGCTAATTCGGAAAGGACCCTATATATTAATATTAAAATACATTGTACCCTCTGTTTACAACGCGTTTCATCAGAAATATGGCTATTTATTTTTTTATGGAATCATGGATCGGTCTGAAGGCCACTTCAATTTCGACATGAAAAAATCTTCAACCGTTCAGCTTTTCGATTATTTTAATCTGGAATTCTTTACTTCACATAACGAAACTAATTCTTCTGACTGCGTAGTTAATGTTCCAGAATCTTCTAACATAGACCTGAATATTGACATGGAACTTCACTCACCGTTAAGAATGGCACCAATAAGATTTTCTGATAACTCTCTAGCATATATTTCGACGTCCCGTGTAGACGTTAACGGTTATCGCCGGATCAACTTCAGGTGAATCATGGAACCAAATTCCTTTTCAAAATTTCTATAAATTGCTCCCCGTCTCTTGCAAACGGCCGAACTTCTACGTTTCAACATTTTACAAGCTCTAGCAAAAATGATTAATACACAAGATGGCTGTCTTCTAGGTTGTTGCAGGTCACACGTGTGATACTCAACTTTGTCGTTAATACTTTCGTCTGTTCTTCCATGCCGGGCCATCCTTACTGCGGGAACAGCCGCACTAGGTCCCACACATCGACAATACGATGTGTGGAAGACGTACTTACAGCTTCCGGACGTGGCTGCTGGTGTGCCAATGGAGCGAAAAGGACCAGATTTGTAGGGACCGGACATTAACCGGAGTAGATTGATCCTAGCCAATGAGAGAAAATCAGGAGTGCGTGAGGACCAATAGGAGAGCTTTGGCCAGGCCTAGCGGTGTACATTCATCGCCCAGATAATGGAGGCAGCATGTACCTCTGAAACGTCGGTGGAAATTCGCCAGACTATACAGCGCAACAACCCAGAAGACAGCAATCTTCAGACTCACCGCTGTGAAAACCTCAAATCCTACATAATTAATAGTTTCTTTGCTTAAGTGTATCTCAGTACTGATTTCTTTGTTTAGCCAACTATGATACAAATTTCTGTATGTAACAAGAATTTAAGCAGAGAACAAATAAAAACAAAACATGTTTACAAAGATTTACATTGCATTTCCATTTGTCAGTTTGAATGCATTCCACCAACAGGCTTAAATTCCCGTTGTACGTGCATGCAGTGGCGAAGCGTGGCCTTTTCAAATGTGTCAGTCATATTGTAGTGTTTCTACTTACTTTTGTACAGAGTATGCCTGTATTTGATGCACGTGAATATTAGGCAGTTCTTATGTATCACCCGGTGTTTTTTTCCATGAGGAATAGAGTTGATTTCCTGGCTCGCCTACCTATTTATGGACGTGTCATTTTTGACACATGGGCGCTTGGAGTTCGTGGCGTTTTTCCCTTTAGAAAGCTAGCTGATTCCCAATGTTGCAATTAAAATCATGATGCGACAAAAGTTAGAGGGCAGGCAGTCGATGTTTGACATCCAAACTGAGTGGATGCAGGATACCACTATCGACGTCATGGCAGAAGATCACAAAATTTATGCAGCAAAGATAAAACTCACAGCCGTGGCCAAGATATTTTGCACAGGACGTACGGAGTTACATGTGGAAAATACAACGTGGGATAGTTTAGTTAAATTTTCAAAAAAAGATTTCAAGACATAATGCCAGATCAGTTTCACTACCAACAATTATTGACAGTCAAACAAAAGATAGACGAGGATCCCCAAACTTCTGCAGACAGGGTCCGCACTTTGGCAAAGAAAACACTACACTCCTCGTGTATCCCAGCAGTTCAAGGCGCCTACAACATAGACTTCGTAAAGAGACAATTGTCGGCGTTTGTCTTATGACTACGTCCAGACGTTTCGATGCAGGTAAAGAACACGGCTTATTTAACATCGAGCGGGGGGCATTTGTTGGAAAAGTTCAGTTTTGTGCCTCACAAAGAAAAATGTTTACTTCATACAATTATTTGGGGTTCAGTATTAG